TGCAGTGGAACATTGAGAAATGAGGCAATGTTCTGTAAGGAGAGGCTTCTTTGGTCCCCAAGTTTCACTGAGAAACAGCATTGTCACTTGCCTGGAGCAATCTAGGTTGAAAGATACAATCTGAAGTTCTATGTGATTATTTTTCAGTTTCCTTTAAAAAAGAAACAAGGTAATTACCCTTAGCAGTTGCTATGGCAACCATGTTATGGCCTGGGAGAATTTTCTGCTAAAGTCCCTCTCTCCCCATGGTTAGAAAGTTAAATAAATTATTAAAATTTAAAAATGGCACAGTAAACCAATGTGTCCTTTCTGAGAAGAAGACGTAGGTGGTAGGAAGCAGGGAAGTACATAGGAAGAAAACTGACTTTCACTGTATAGTTAAATTAAGCAACTTGTTGACTTATAGTCCCATATACCCAGGATTGGAAGTTTGCTCAGGTAATGAAACCAGCCTGAGTTGGCATCATTCAGTGCTTCCAGAATTTTGAGTCTTACAGCAAGCTTTCAAGAGAACTGCACTCTCAAAACTCGGAGGGCTTTCTTACCCAGACATTGGCGATTTCTCAGCAGACATTAGGGCTGTCAGAGTGTGCTGATCTTCCCGCCACCTATGTATCAGGAACCTATAAGGCAAGCAAAAATCTGGCAACATGACAAAACGAATTTCCTCTTATAATCCTCACATCTTTTTCAACATTATATAGCTAGTACATGGCGGGGCCAGAAGACCTTAGCTTTGACTTCGATACCCATATGGAACCAAATTATTCATTGTTTAATAGGATAAAGGCCTATTTTTAGTGATTTCTTTGCCTCATTTGTTGCCTCAAATTCAGTTTGAGTGTGGGATAGGATTTAAATTTAATTAATATTGAATTTTTTATTTTGAAAAATGAGTAAAAAATGTTTTTCCCCCTCTCATGTGTTTTAATAGATCTTATTAAAAATTTATAGGTAATTGAGAAAAAATGGCTATCTGAACACCCAACAGGCTACAGTGTTTTATTGCATATTGGAAAATGAGAGAGTAAGACCCTTCTTTGGCCTTTTAACTTCCAATAGAGAGCAGCAAAATTGGATACCATCCCTCCCAGACCAGGAGATCACTCTCCCACTGTATCAGGGCCGAGCCTCTCATGGGTATACTGACGTAGGCTCAGGTTTGAGGAACGCAGAGACAAGGAAGGGTTTCATAGAGGCAGGTTGAAGTTTTCTTGTTTTGAGTAAGGAAGGGTGTATCAGCTTCTAAATGATGCTGTAGGCCAGAAGGAGGCTTAAAAGAACATGGAGGTGGTAGTTGTTATTATCTATATGGTCACTGTCAGAGAGCAAGGGTACTTTGTAGGTAGATTTGTCTTATGCTTGGTAGAAGGCAGGTGCTCTCCACATATTATGTAAAATGAAAGTAGTACAAGTAGGGTAGGCTCAAGTAAGGTAAGGTAAATAATAATTGGAGGGCCAGGGAAATGGCCTTTGAATTCTTCCTAAAATTATCTCTGTCACTCTTCTTCTTTGCTACCACTTGCGGTGTCTTAGGTCACTGGACCTATTTGGGCTGGGGAGAGCAGCGGAGTACGTAAGAATTTGAATTCCTTATAATTTTCTTGATCTTACCCTTTAACATACTCTCTCTGAACTATAAAGCTGGATATTCATGCATACAAGCATACCTAATTTCATTCCCTTCCCCTCCCCTCCTTAAATCTCAAGAGACAGTTATCTTCAGTGAAACGTTATATCCTTCCAGGCTGGTTTCTTGAAGACTGTGTGTAAATTTCAGACCAGAGTCCCAGTTACAACCCTGACAGGATCTCCTGATTTTTCTTCCTCAGAGACAAGTAGTACTATCAATTCCCAGTGTAGGAAACCCTCTTCTTTAGTTTCTTGGCTAAGGGGTGCAGTAAGTAGAAGGAGGAGGTTTATTCTGGGAGAGGTCATTAATTTAGTGAAGTGAAGAAGAGGCTGAGGACATGGTTTGACTTTCGTTGAAGCAGCCCAGGTAGGCTGGAGGATAGCTTTGTTCCAGAGCTTCAAGAGTGGGTAGTCAGTTCTTTCCAGCAAGATATATAGCCGTGGGCTGACATTACTGGCTGGGTTACCCATCTGGCAAGGGGGCTTGGTTGAATCCCAGTGATTAAGTGTCCAACAGGTACTAAGAGGTACCAAATTTTGTCCTGTCACTGGAATTTCTCATGGAGTATGTATTTTCTGTGATTTGAATCCTGAGTATTTCCCCTAGGGAACTGCTGAAAGGCAGCCTAAGAGCTCAGATAACTTAAGATTTTAACTTAAATAGAAAAAAGTAATTAAGCCATGAAAAAAAAAAAAAGGTTTGAATTCTTTTTCCTTTCTTCTCTAGCTGGTAAAGTCCTGTTGTACTCTAGATTTAAAGACAGGAACTTAATCCAGGAGCATGATACATTGGAGAGTCCCACTGTTCAGTATCTCATTCAGTTTTGTTTGAGTGCCTACTCTGTGCCAATGGCCGGCCCATATTTGCCCCAGGTTAAATTTCTTTCCCAGTTTATTTTACAGGTTTATTTTCTGTCATTCCCTTCCGTACTCTTTTTTTTCTGTTTCTCTCCTTCATCTCATTTCACTTCCCTATATTTCCTTTCTCCCATTCCCTCCTACTTTTCATATTCTCTTTTCTTCTACTCCCAACCTTTTCTTTCCGTAAACACTTTGTTTCTTAATATTTGTACTTTATTTCTTTATTACAGAAATGCTGTCAGCCTTTAGGAAAGTTTTGGAATATTTATCCCCTTAGCCTAGCAAAATAAAAAAGCAAAACATTATTTATTTAGAAGTAATAGGCCAGGTACAGTGACAAACTAAATGTCCATACACTAATTTCCTGGCTCTGGATTATGGGTTCCTACTTCTGGCTGAGCTACCCTCTCCTGGCCTCATAATCAGTAGGATTGTCTATCACTGCTCCCTCTTTGGAGGCTCAGTTTTGTTTTCCTGGATTATATGCTAATACTTCTCCTGCCGGAATTTAAGTAGACTTTTTGCTTTGTCTTCTTTTTTGCACTTGCCTCCTCACCTGTATGCATGAATAATCCAACACTGACTTTTTCCACACTTACTCTTTCTGTGGGTTCAGGGAAAATGAAATCTGAAAGACATACTGGTTTTCATCCCTTGGTCCTTTCTAGTCTTCAGAACAACAAATGCATCAAGGGTTAAAACCATTGCGTCCAAAGTCTTTTTCCTAATATGTGATCAGAATGCTTTGTATTTTTTGACTAATCTTGTTCCTGCCCATTTTGGAGGTTAGCCTCTTTCTCCTGGGGTTCTGATCACTGATTTCTCCTGAATTTTCCCCTGGGGTCCTGATCACTAACATCTTTTTTCTTATGTTCACATATTGCCTTAAACCCAAATGGGAAAAGCTACCACAAGTGTTGTCTGGAATCCAGTGTTCAAATTTTCTTCCTTGCTTGTAAAACCCGCATATTTGTGCTCCCTGTTTTTTTTTTTAGTGGAATTGTCTACTAGGTTGTATAATGTAGAAGCCAAAGGGTCATTTTCCTATTACCTTCCATTTGTCCCCAAGTTTTAATTTTAATTTTAATTTTTTATTTTTAGAGAGGAAGGGACAGGAAGAAAGAGAGAGAGAGAGAGAGAGAGAAAGGGAGAGAAACATCGATGTGAGAACAAAACATCAATCGGGGATTGAGCCTGCAACCCAGGCATGTGCCCTGATGGCGAATTGAACTGGCTACCTTTTGGTACATGGGATGATGCCCAACCAACTGAGGCACACTGGCCAGGGCTTGTCCCCAAGTTTTATCATTTCTGTCTGGATCCCCTCCCCCCTTGTTTATTAACTCTTTTCCATTTCCATTGTATGGTTGTAGGTCCTTATCTTCCTTCATGAGAAATTGTAAAAGCCTAATCTTATGGTCTTCAAGAGGCTTCTGTTTCCCACCATACTGCCAAGGTGTTTTGTTTTTTTTTAAATTATTAATATGAGGAGTCCATCATTTGCTAAATGTATCTCCATTTGGGGATGGTTAATGTTCCTTTTCCTCATTGTGAGTCAAATAGGAACTTGGCAAGAAAGGAAGTATGCAAATTTATTAATTAAACACATATGGGGATGGTGTCAGAAATGGCTTCCCTGTATAATAACCTATAAAGTACAATTAGGGTGAGCTCCCTTTCCAAGCACAGTGTTGCACATTTTTATTTTTGCTTGGAGCAGGATTTGTAACTGTGTGCATCGTTTAGTGCTGGCCTGAAAAACAGAAATAAATCTATGAAATTGAAGTCACTGTTAGATAAACTTAGCTGCATTATTATCAGCAAGATCCTATTGGCAGTGCATGTGCTTTCCTCTTCTCCTTCAGCCCATTCTTTGGATAGGAATTCTGAACTTAGACTGTTGGTGCTTGACAGGAATTATTAGAAAAACCCAATGTTGCAGCAAGACAATAAGACTGCTACTTTTCTCAGCTGCATCTGGACCTTTTGGCTGACTTCTAAGCTGTGGCTTTGACTCTCCTGATTTTGTGGGCCAACTTCTGATGTTGAACCTGTTTGTTTGGTTTAACCATGTATTTTGAAGTCTGAAAACACCAAACCAATTTTAAACAAAAATTTCTCTTTTTTAAGATATGGAAAAGCTGTTTCCCCCACCCCTTTTGATAATAGTAGAGGATCAGACTCTGTGACATTTAAAGCAGGTTTTCTTTAGGGTTATGATAGCTAGAGAAGTAGAATCCCAAAGAATTCTGCATTGGGAAAATGTGGCTTAGAACTCCTCTAAGAATCAGCACTAAAATTAAACTAAGTGTTCTATCTCATTTGATAAGGAGAGAGACTTGTGGGTATTGAGACAGTTCTGCACATGGTTTTGAGGTCACTGGACTCGTGTGCAGCTCAGCTTGTTCTTGTTCTCAAGACTTGAGGCTACCTAAGTTAGAAGCAGAAAATGTTCTAAAGAATTAAATAAAGCTGGGGTGCTTTGATTGACTCTGCTTGTTCCACAGCTTTTGAAGATCCTGATAGTGCTGTCGATGACCGAGATAGTGACTATCGCAGTGAGACCAGCAACAGCATCCCACCTCCTTATCATTCGACTTCCCAGCCCAATGCTTCTGTGCACCAGTTCCCTGTGCCTGTGCGATTGCCACAGCAACTGCTAATTCAGGGCAGTTCCCGGGACTCTTGCAATGACTCTATGCAAAGTTATGATTATGACCTCGATTACCCAGAACGGCGGGCTCTCAGGTGGGTATTGGAAACAAAGCACTTTCTTTTCCTAGTATGCAGAGCCCAGGATACAACTGACATCACGGATTTGGGCACTTTAACCTGAGGTGGTAATGGAAGTATAGCAGTAGAATGGGCCAAGCTAGAGCTATTTTATATAGAGTCTCAGTCTTTTTTCCCTCTTCCACACATTCATATTTATATATTTCCATCAGTAACATTTCTCTTAATGATTAGGAGTTCTCAACTGGCAAGAGCATGCCCACTGGGGGTAGATGGCTGAAAAAACCTGCTCACTTCTCTGCCCAGCCCAGAGATTTTGATTCACCCTTTACCAAGATTAAAAAAGGAAAATCAGCCTGGCCAGAGTGACTCAGTGGTTGAGCATCCACCTATGATCCAGATTGTGGTTTGATTCCCCGTCAGGGCACATGCCCGGGTTGCAGGCTCCATCCCCAGCGGGGGGCGTGCAGGAGACAGTCAATCCATGACTCTCTCCCATCATTGATGTTTCTCTCTCTCCCTCTCCCTTCCTCTTTCTGAAATCAATAAAATATATATTAAAAACAAAGAAAATCACAGATGTTTAATGTTCGGATAACCCTTTTTACCTAAATATTTCCATGGGAACTTCAGAAGAAAATGAATATGGATCTCTCCATAGAAGATTCAGTACTTTTGTTGGAACATTAAATTTTTTTAATTTTAATAAGTTTTTAAATATATAAAACATTTACATGGTTAAAAAAATGTCAGGGTGCAATACAGCTTACAGCAAAGACTCCCACTCACACCTTTCGTCCTTTTCCACCCCATCCCCTTCCTTTTTACTAGATTTAAAAAATACATATTTTTATTGATTTCAGAGAGAGGAAGGTAGAGGGAGAGAGAGATAGAAACATCAATGATGAGAGAGAGTCATTGATCGGCTGCCTCCCTGCTGGGGATCGAGCTCGCAACCCGGGCATGTGCCCTGACCAGGAATCGAACCCCGATCACCTGGATCCTAGGTAGATGCTCAACCACTGAGCCATGCCCTATCAACCATCAAATAGAATTCTCATTTTTAATAATCTGATTCTAAAAAGAAACATGCCAGGAATCCTACTACAGTTGGTCCCTACTACTTGCTGGTCTAGTAATTAAATATTTGCATATTTTATTTATTTGATTTTAGTTGTTTATATTGTCCTAACTTTAAGAATAAAAAACATAATAGCAAAAAAAATTGGGGGGGGCTCTCTTTTCCCTCTGTATTTGCAAGCATTATATGTGTAGGCCAGTAGTAATAATGGCACATCAACCTAAATGACTACATATACTTCAGGAAAACTGCAGTTTACATAATCAATACCCTGTTGTCATTTCGTTTATTTCCTGGGCTACTGCTATAATACATAACACTTAGAGGAACATTAGTGATGTACTTTAAGTTGCAAATTTTTTTCCTAAATTTTTTCTTTAATTGATCCCATATAAATTTGATTTTACTGTATTATTATATGAAATGAGGTTAAAAAGTAAATATTTTATCATCTCCAGCAGAGGAAAAGTTAATATGATTTTAAAGTAAACTTTTATTATAGACATTTTTAACTTAAATGTTTGAATGATTTCTCCTTTAAGTTTTTTTGGAGAAATTATATCACTAGCATTCATTTAAAAATTTTTCGATTACTATAAATACAGAGTTCTTGGAAATAATCTAAGTTCTTAAGTTACATTGTTTTTTAAGAATAATATTTAAAGTCCTTGAGGGAACAAACATATTTGCAGTATCTTCCAATAAATTAGAAGTGTAAAAATAAATAGCTTCATTCACTACAGCCATGGCTACCAGTTGATTTTAAGTTGTAACTATAAAGACTTATTCCAGACTGGAATTGGTTTAGTCTGAGTTTTTAAGGATACTGGAGAGTAATGAAACTATATGTAAAAAAAAAAAAAGTGCAGTTGATTTCCTCACTCTATCAAGTGGGCTTTTGCCTAATGAGTCCAGAATAATGGGAAATGTATGTAAATTATCTAAAAAATACATAATTTGAGGTTTGACAGTAGAATTGGACTTTGTTAGATATTATACAGCCAAAGTATCTCTACTGTTAAGGGGTGTCAAAAGACTATCAGTTTCACTGTTGAAGATTTTTAGTGACTAAGTTACAATTTTGATCTTTTTTTTTCTTTCCTAAATAAATACTGTTGGATGTTAGATCTATAAAAGAACATACTGCGCTGACAAGCTTCTAGTCTGCAGGCCCTCTCTACACCTCCACCTCACTACATGGGAAGTAGGCAGTCTTTAACCTAACTGAAAGAAAGGTCAGCTGTCTTCTGTATTCATGTAGGACATGTGGCTTCTGCTGTTTTACTCGGTATAGAGAAAGATTTTCATCTCATTGTAATCCTCAATGTATATAGCATTAGATTTCACAAACAAATTATAATGCTTTAAATAATTTGCTCTTTTTGGTACTGTAACAAGATTTGACTTCTGATAGTCAAAGATGATGATGATGATGATGATGATGATTTTAATCCTCACCCCAGGATATTCAGAGAGAGTGGAAGGGAGAAAAAAAAGAGAGAGAGAAACATTGATGTGAGAGAGACACATCGATTGGTTGCCTCCCGAACTCACCCTGACCAGGACTGAGGTTCGAGCCTGCAGCCAAGGTACATGCCCTTGGCCGGAATCAAACCTAGAACCCTTCAGTCTGAGGGCCAATGCTCTAACTACTGAGAAAACCAGCTAGGGCTTGGCTGTTCTTTTTTTGATGTGGAAAATACTCTTTGACTATATTGCTATAATATTAATTTAAGATCATTTGGATTTCCTTATATTTTTTCAGTCTGAATGGTTTTTTATCAAATTGACAATTTTACTAATTCTAGTTTTCTCATTGAAAGTGCACTAAGTCTTATTTGTTTCTTCCTTTTCCCTGTTTCCCCCTTTTTCTTTGCCTTACTATTCCTTCAAACTTATCCCTTTACATCAGACAAGGCTTGCTGGCTAAAACTGACAGAATTAGGATTATTTCAGCTTTCTCTGATGTTGACTATAAAGAGCAAGAAGAGATATATGAACAGATGGAGGGGAAAATATCACAAGGGTTTCTAGAAAACAGTAACATAAATGTAAAAGAAGTACAGGTAAAGGAAATTGGAGCTCTTTTAAAAACTGATAAATATTACAGCCAACAAGTACAAACAAATTACAAGAATTTTAAAAGGATACCCTCTCAGAGCCAAGAAACAGAATTCTCTACTGCCTCTAATTTTGACCTTAAGTTTGAAACGTCTGTTTGCTCCAGATATCCTCAGAAATATGATACAATTGATAGGAGAAGGAAAAAGAAACCCTTGGACAGCCATTTTGAAGACAGTGAAAGAAGACAGTATAATGATAGATTAGGAACTAAGACTGACTTCAAAAGTACATATCCAAATAGTGAAAATTGTAACCTTTGCCATGTTGAAAAGAAGAAACAAAATTACCCAGTTTTGCACCCCTACAAAAACGGATTTGTGGTTAAGTGTGGCATGTGGACCACTAAATTGGAACATCATGATTATGAACTTCCAGGTTGTTTTAAGAACTTCAAAAAGTCATTTGACCTAAACCAGCATGTCACTGATTTCATTCCATTGGATACTGAAGATTCTACTAGCAGTACTTCTGATGAACTTCTGGATTCCCCCATTTCTTCTGATAAACAGGAAGGTTTACTGTCACCAACATGCCATCCATCCAATGTCCATCATATTGGAGGCTTTCCTAAAGAATATTATGTAGCAAATCCAGCGTTCCCATTACAAAGGATAAATTGTGATGCAAACACACTTAGAGATCTATCTGGGTGTCCCATGGAAGAGATGACCCCTTCTTCTATTGAGGAACCCAAGGAGGACTATATTGATACAATGGATGAGCTTCAGTGTTTTGTAGAAACAGTCTCAGAATATTTAGCAGAGAAGGAAGAGGAGATTAATAAATTTGGTTCCCTTTCAAAAACTAAAAAAACACCTAAACATAATAGTACTGTTGATAATGAAGAACAAAAAAAGCCTGGGGATGAAATACTACCTATAAATGTTGTCAAGAATGACAAGGCCAAGGCTGTCTGTTTCCCTGAATTGAATGGTATGAAATGTGCTGTTGGTTCTTTATTCAGTTCACTCACAGAAAAGGTGGGCTCAGGCACAAAGCATCTAACAATCTCTATGGAAAAGCTGGCTTCTTTAGCTCCAGAGAAAACAGAAACTCTTACTCAAATAGAGACAATTAATTTGGGATCTAGACCAAGAGCCAAGTCAGTCTCAGAGAAGGATCTTTGCATGCAGTCTCCATTATCTTCTCAAACAATTGATAATAAGGATTTTGGCAGGCATAACAAAACCTCTGAAAATGAGCACACGGGCATTAAAACTGGGAGTTCAAACTTACAGGATACAACAGAAACTCTTGGAAGGGACGCTGCTTCAGAGAGTCAGAGTTCAGTTATAAAGTCTGTTTTAAGCATGCTAACTCCATTAAAGATCTTTTTGGAAAAAGATGAAACCAAAAAAGATGATGACAAGAACAAGACAAGAAAGGAAACCTTTGTTGCGTGTGTTTCAGAGTCAAGTCAAAGGGAAGACACACTTAGCAAAGACAGTAGTATTATTGCTTTAGATAAGAGTAATGGAGACAGTACAGGCTTGTCCCAAATGTCCACAAGTGAAGATTTATTGTCTTCCCAAGCAGCTAATGAACCTTCAAACTTAGCTAGTTCTGCAAGTAAGAAAGATGGCATTGACAGTCTGTTGGAAAGAAAACCTTGTATAGACCTGTCTCTGTTACCAGAGGAACCAAAAATATGTGCCAAAGATACTCCAGGACATCCTTGTGTAGCTGGCAGTAGAACTGCAAATAAAGAGGCTTCTTTAAAGTCATTAGAGAGGGACAGAGTTACTGGCGATGATGATTTTCTTGAGCCACTCAGAAAATCTTTTAGCCAGTTTTTACTCACTTCCCCTGA